TTCTCCAATTTCGATCAATCTCTTCTGCTACAGGATCATCCCATGATAATTGTAATTTCCACAATTCCTGTAGGATCATTTTAGCGAGAAATTACAAACGGAGCTATCCACCCCAATGGATCGAATAATTTTGCTACGAATGACAAAATAATCCTTTTAGTCGGAACACTTTGATACTCTATTACTCCGACATTACATTTGAATTCATCATTGTCCGGATGCCATTCCAATCCCAGAACTTTCAATGTTTTGTCTTCTATTACACGATGGATATTGTCACTATCTGTATTTGTTAAGCCAGAGGTTTTTAACAATGACGGTTCACTTGTCGACCATTTGTGAAACTCAAAGCCACCCCTTTTTAGCAGATGTTGCAATTCGTCTATCAATGCAATACCTTCCGAACTATCTTTTACACCAGTTAGCATATCATCAACAATAAAAATCTCTTAAAACTATATTCTTTGCCTTTGGAAAGTTCAATCCTTGATCAATCGCTAACTGTCTCAAAACTTTGGTTGCAAGATATGGAGCAGCTGCAGTTCCTTATGTAACTGTTTTCAAACGACAAACTTGTATTTGTTTATACGGGCTATCTCTCCATAATATTCTCTGAAAATCTCTATCTTTTTCATGAACCTTTATCTGTCTCTACATCATTTTAATATCAGCGGTTATTGCAATGTTATGAAGTCTAAATCTTAGTAAAATACAAATTAAGTCATCTTCTATTTTGGGGCCTATCATTAGCGTATCATTTAAAGAAACACCTGTGGTTGTTTTAGCGCTCGCATCGAAAACAACTCTCAGTTTTGTTGTTAAGCTAGAGTCCTTTAACACAAAGTGATGTGGGATATAATAGTGTTTATTCTCTAATTTATAATCTGTGTCTGGCACTAATTCTACTTGTTCTAGTGAAAAGTACTCTTTCATAAACTGAATATACTGGTTGTAAATTTGTTTCATAGATAACAGCCTCTCTTCTCCAAGTATCGAAATCTTCTGTACGCCATTCACGGGAGTCACCTAGAATATCTCTATTATGTTTTGAATGGTAATGCAACTGAATAACGACCTGATTTGTCTCTAAAATGCGAGTTTTTAAAATGTTCTTCACAAAGTTTTTCTTCATTTGTTAAAGGTTGTACATTTGGAAACTTTTCTAACTCCCAGAAAGAATTTACTAACTCATCTGTGTTTGTATTCAAATGATTTACATATACTGGCTCAAAATTTGTAGATTCAAAATTTGTAGTACCCCGAAATTATCCATCCCAACCTCGAATTTAGAGCAAATGGTAGATCAGGACCACGTTTGACAATTTCTCCCCTCCCGTCATTAATGCAGAAATACATTTACTCCAAATAAAATGTCAACTCGTTGTGACTTGTAAAATAATGGATCAGCTAATTGTAAATCACTGAAGATATCGAAGATGATTGATGGCAAAGATACATAGGGAATGTTATCTGTCACCTTGTCCAGTACAAACGCTGATGTTGATACACGAATATCACTTTTAAAATGAGAAGCGAATACTAAATCGACTTCCCCATTACTTATAGTATTAAATTCTCCTAAACATGATACAGAAATGGAATTATCTTTCACTCGTAATCCTAATTTCTTCACACAATCCCTTGAAATAAATGATCTCTGAGATCCAGTGTCACATAAACATCTGCACTTCACAAACTGTTGTTCAGAATTTTGAACTTTTATTAAAGCAGTACACAATAAAATGTGACTGGTTTGATTACCTTTTGCATTCGAATCATAATGAGAGGCACAAACTGTGGCTGAAACGTCCTTAGGACTCGTTAATTCATTCATCTCTTTTAGGGATAGATTGCGTAGGCGGATATACTGTTTAACTGAGTTTTATTCTTTGAATTATTTACAATGTGCAAAATACTGTGATGCTTCTTAAAGCAATGTTGACATGTATTTAAAAACTCTTGCATTTTTGAGCAAGTGCATATTAGATAAACAATTAAAACAGTAAACGATTAGATTTTACAAATTCTATCCTTTGCTGAACCGATAAATTTAGAAATTTCGAACATTTGGCTAAACTATGATCTTCTTTACAATAACCACAACCCAAGTAGCAACCATAACATTATTCTTATTTTGAAACAGATTTAGGTACCTTATTACTTGTTGATTTGCTGTTTTGAAGTGTTCTTGCATAGTTTTTTAGGAATTCAATTAAAGTCGTAAGTTTTGGAATTTCATTACATTTTAACTGACATTCCCACCATAATTTTGTAGAAGGGTCTAATTTTTGCAAAATTAAATAAGTCATTAAAGTGTCACCAAAATTATCAATGGTTTGATTCAATACGTCTAAAGAACCAATTACTTCATTAATATTGTCAACTAAATTTAAAATAGCAAATGCTGATTCATTTTGAATAGTTGGTAAGCTTAGAAAACGTTTTTTATATGGAAAAATTTGTTCTCTCTCATTTGAATATCTTTCATCTAACACATTCCATGCTATTTCAAAATTACAATCCGAAATTTGAATGGTTTGAATAATGAGATATGCTTCACCTTTCAACGAAGCCTTCAAATACTGTAATTTTTTAGCATTAGATAAATTTGTATTATATCTTACACAAGCACTGAAAAGATCTTTAAAAGCTATCCATTCTGTAATATTACCACCAAAAGTCGGTAATGTTAACTTGGGTAATTTAATATTGTCAAGAACCTGTTCTGAAATTACACTATTAGAATTATTTTTACTATTTTGACTTTTTAATATTTTTTCACCTTTAAATTTCCACAAATAAATTTTATCTGTGTACTCCTGAACATTATGTATTTCGTTTTCTAATTCTTTAGTATCTGTAATTAAACTTTCGATTTCAGAATCAAGCTTCCTTAACTCAGTTTCCTTTTGTGTCAATAATTCGACACATTCCTCTAGTTCTATTAAATTAATTTCATCTGCAGTTAAAATAGTTTCAATTTTCTTTACATAATTAGAAACACTCCTGCGTAAGACCGCTCTTTTTGTTTGAAAAGTTATAAGTTCGCTCATAATTGATCAATTCAAACACAGAAATTGTTCTTAAATCACTTAACGCTATTATTAAAATGAAATCGAATTCTGTGCTGTATTACATCATTGTTCTTAAAATTTAACAACAAATTAAACGAATTTTTGTTCAAAATCCACTTACCTCACAAAGTGGAGGAATATTTTCACCAACCATATGCATATTTGCGTTGTTAGAATACACTTAGAACAGTCACTATCTTCACTAGCTCTCCGGCTAGACTTTTGACCAACAATAAATGTTCTTTAACTTAATATGTTTCACAAACTATAATCAATCAATAAATGGACTGTATTCCTACACTTTTTATTTCATTACACTAATTATAAATAATATGTCAGCGATGCGAAATAATTGATACAAAATAAGCAAGCCATTCTACATGGCTGTCACAAACACAATTCTATCAATCATCTTGTTGCCACACATAAAGTTCAAAACTAAAGGAAGAAAAACAAAAGGAATTTACGCTGTTTGCAACAATAAAATGAAGCAAACGATACTCACATAAACACTGTGAATTGCAATTAATGCACAAATTACAAAATGCAGATTCAAGATAGATTCAGTAGCAATAAAAGAATCGACTCGACCGCGACTGACTGCAATTGCACGAGGTGCAGCATTTATATACACGTTTTGTACAGACGCTGAATAGATTGCGCATATGTCCACGAAAATGCCAAAAGTGATGTATAGCAGAATGTGATGGATAGAGAGCAACAGACTATTTTTCTAATGACATTCGTACTTTTAGAAATGGATGATTTAGGGAATAAATATTTAATTTAATTAAAATTAATTTTGAAATCTGTTCCAATTTAAAAATTAGAAAGGAAAAGTAACATAATACTTATCTTATTACTTAAAAGTAAATGTTACTATGTAAATTACTTAAAATATATGTTACTATGTTAAATTCTGTATATATACAGAATTTCGCTTTTAATTAAGGTCGTATTATAGCTTTAGCGTCAAAAGTACATTATGATTGAAAATTGGGCTGCAAATATTGAAAGTTTGAGAAGCACTGGAGTAGAACATGCACAATATGATGGATAAAGCCAATTTCTCTTGTAGTTTGCATTATGAATTTGGAAGGATTTCAATTAGAAATGTTCTTTAATTCATGCATCTTTCCCTCAAAGCTTTCAAGACCTGTTGATGTCTTCTGTACTATTAATAGCTTTTGCATCCAGAATAGCATATCTCTTTCCATTCTTCCACTTGGATAACAGATTGGCATGCTAATATCTTACAACAATTTTAGCTCTTTTTGTAATGCTGAATTTATGTGCTGTCTGTAAAGTGATTAGGATCTGAAACAATTTAAGTATGGCTTATACCACATTATAAAGCTCTTTGTGATATCCATATAATTTTACCAAGAGTAATAATTTAAAAATAAGGATTACCCATTTTGTAATTATAAGGCTTTTTTGCTGAAAATTTTGTATCTGAACTATCTATAGTGTGCAATACAGAAGTATGGGGAGGTACATTGTATATGAATTTAGAAATGAGGTGTTGAAATTCAAAAGTAACCCTTTTTTTTTTAAATATATTCTTAACTACCATCCTTAAACCAATTAAATATATGTAAAGAAATAATCCTCTAAATTAACCTTCATTGTTTAATGAAATCATTGACTAAGTGTAAGATAATTTGATACCATTAAGGTTTATAATTTGCCATATTTATAAAAATATTTTAACTTTGTCTGTCTCTCTGTGCTTTTTTGATAAGCTTTACAGAAATCACAGCACTGTGTATGATTGTTTTCAATTTCTGATAGTAGCTTGATAAATTATTACTTCATGAAATTTTAATTTTTATCTGTAACACTGTAAAATGTAAATAAAATGTTGTTTGACATCACTAAATAAAATGTTTCTTGACAGCTTTTTCCCAAATGCCTTTAAAATAAATACAAATTAATTTTATTTTATTCCATGTAGCATTTTTTGTAGCTGTCCAGGTTCTTTTTACATTGGGATTAGTGTGCCTTATATTGGCTTGTTTAGTGCTGATGGTGTTCACTATGTGCCTCATCTCTGACAAAGATGTATTGATTTTGAAACTTTTGGCTTCCCTTGTCTTCATATCAGGTAGATATATATATTTTAAAATCATCTTTTTTATTTATTAATTTTTCTGAAATTTGATGTTATACTATTGTGCTATTTAAAAATAATAACAGAAAATTATTTATTAAAAATTTTTACTATATGGTTTCCTCCATTCTATAAAAATTTGCTTTAGGGATTGTTAAATAAGTTCTAAGCTTAACAACAATGTAATATTAAGAAATATAAATTTCAAGATTTGATACAAGCAAATGGAGAAACCAAGTTCTTAAAAACCGTAAGGTGACATAATGAAATAGGTTGATTTCAGTGATTGAATATTTTAACCAGCAATGAGCGTTTTTGAAGTTACCAAACAGAGCTTTTACATATACACTGGTGTGCAAAAATTAAGTGCGAGGTGGAGAAATAAGCATAAAAGCAGAACAAGGCAACTGAAATACCAGTCAAGAGGTAAATTTGGGATATGTACAATAGAGCATGCACATATATGACACATGACTAAGGGTGAGGAGTGTCGGAAGTGCTGTCACACGTAGACAGTGTACACTCAGCAATTCAGTTAAAGCTGCTCCATACTGTGCAGTGATTTCAATGTCCTTGATGTGATTTCAATGATCTGATTCTACCATGAGAAATGGTCGACAGAAAATCCAAGAGATGCCATGTGGATTACTTTACCAAAGAGCGTGTCATTGAAAAGACTGAAGTGTAGCAAGTGTAGTGGAGGAGTTTGGTTTGCTTACAGTTTCATTTTATGAGCATAGAGATAATTTCAGACAACATTAAAAGCCATTTGAGCATTTGATAGTGGTCATTTATTAGCAACAAGGGTGGTAGACGACTGATATGTTGTCCAACTGATGAGAAGAGACTGGCAGCAGACAGCAGGAGATATTGCAAGGCACATGCAATAAATTACTGAACATCTAATGTTACATTTTACCATGGCCAAAAGGCTGCACAAAAGTAGTCTGTGTGCCCAACAACCAGTAAGGTGTGTGCCATTAATGCCTGCTCATCAGAGATGCTGTGTGGTTCTGGAAATACTGGAATTGGACACAACACGAGTGGAGTCGAGTGCTTTTTATGGATGAGAGCTAATTTAGTCTGATGAACGATTCTGGCCGTATAAGCATCTTGAGAGAGAAGGAAACATGCATTCATCCCGCTAGCTTCATCAAAAGGGACTGTTTCATAGTTGCCAGAGTTCTCGTTTGGGATAGTATCCGGTGACCTTTACATCTTCCAAGACTATTGTACCAAGGTTCTCTTGCCTCATGTGCATCTGTTCATATATGCTGTGGGTCAGGAGGGTGACAATGGTAGACTTCATCGTACAATAATTATTGCAGAGTTCTTGGCAAGTGGATCGACCTGCAAGGTCCCCCATACCTAATTTCTGTAGAACAGGTGTGGGACCTTCTCAGCAGATGCATGGTGACCAGGCATAGCAACAATTTCATAGCTGAAAAGTGCATTGCAAGAAGAATGGGCTGCAGTGTTTCCATGGTTCCTTCACAAATTGCATAAGCTTTACTCATAAAATATATTTCTGCGTTCTAAAGCATTATTTATGTACAGGAAATGCTTGACTATCTGGCATTCAACTAACCAAAAGGCTCAAATAAACAGAAAATTTTAGAATTCCAATTTTTTTTTTAAACATCCTTTACAGAAAATTAAGTATTTTAATTATCTGTTTGGCAGAATTATGCAAGAACCACTTATTTGCAGAAGTCCTATGTGAGGCAAAGCTTCAGAAGAAAAGTAAATTGTAAAATGTTAGTCAGGGGCATTGGTTTCGGCAAATCATGTTTCAGCTGTGAACAGGCCAGTGGTAAGAAAAAGAGAAGTTCATTTCTGGGAAAAGTTTCTTTTAGTCGGACTTTTCATGTACTCCCGTCCACTGTTAGATTCCGACCACCATGATAATTCCAAGAATTTTTCTTTAAATATGTTAAATCTTGTAGAAAAACAAGTGGGAAGTTATTAAAAATTTTCGAATAAGAACTCTATTAGAAGTTCCGTATTATTTCTATGCCTATTCAATATTTCTATTCAGTATTATTTCTATTCTTCTATTCTATTATTTCTATTAGTATTATTTCTATGCCATGAAGCATATAAGAGAGTCCAGAGTTCACAATAAACGTTTGTCTGTAATGATCACTATTCTTACCATTATCTTTAACAGTGGCAGTCACAGATATTGAGCAATTTCTCCTTAATGCATGAGAAATAGCATAAATTGTCCAAATCATGCAGAGTAGATTTTAAAATGTAATTCAGCTGTCTCTGATTCACTGCTCTCATCTCTCTTAACTGATTAACAATTAACTGATCCTACTTCTCCAAACCATATGTGTATTGTGTATCTTAGGTTTATATAAGCTTAAAAAGTGAGTTGTAGGCTAAAAAAAATTTTTTTCTGAATCTTTCAGAAGGTTGCCAGCTTGGCAACAATATTTGTCATGAAGGCCTCTCAGAAACCTATAACTCATGTTCTACATATCTTTTTGTCTATATCTCACATGTTTTAGCTATTTTTTATAGTTTAAACAGTACTATACTCAAAATTTAAAGATCTACAATCAGTGTAAGAAATAATTATTAAATATAAAACATATTACCATAAATTCAGTTAAAAAAAAAAAAAAGTTCTAAAGTTTTACCTTAAAAATAACAAATAATGAAGACAACACTGCATAATATTAAAATACTATATAAAAACAATGGAATGGAATCAAATGAATTTGAATATTTACAAAAATTTACATCACCCCCCCTGCCGCATAAAGAACCTCATCTTCCATATAGTACAATATCCAAGGTAAGAGACCTCATTGCTGTTAAGGTGAAAGTCTGTCACCGTACGTTACTTAATATTTAGAAGGAATTCTTTGAATGTACCTTATTACATCATTCAGTTATTTGAAGGACCATTCCTCTAGATATCTACAGGTTGGGTGATATTCTTCAGTGATGACAGGTTGTCCCTACTGGTAATAAATGTAGTTCTCTCCTGATCTTTGATCTGTTATCACTTGTCAGTAGCTGCTGTTCAAATCCAAAGTTGAAAACCCTTTTTTTTTCCTGCTAGCTTTTCTAAAGTGTCTTTTATAATTCTAGACAAAGGATAACTGTCTTTCTTTGTAATATCATTTACATATTTATAATTGACACAAAATTTCATGAATCTGCCTTTTTTCCTAAGATGATGCCCAAGAGGTAGCTCAATAATGTCATTGTCCTGCATCTCCTTCAGAAGTTTTTCTAACTTCCTCCTGTTTAGCAAAAGGAAAATACCAAGTATGTTTACTTAATAAGTGGGTGACTCAGTTTAGTGTTGTGTCACATTTGTGTGATAAACTTCACGAGATGAAGTTGAAAATATGTCCTTAAATTCCTCAGTTAAACAACATGGTGCTTGAATTGTTCAGCATTGATTTTTTCTGCTTTTTTGCGAAATCGTTTAATTTGCCAGGAGTATGCTTCTGGTTCATGAGCTTTGCACGATACTTGTTACAGAGGAACATGAAACATTTTCCTCTCCTTTGTAAAAGTATATGGCATATAACTTATGTTTACAACTCTGACCAATAGAATTTCCTTTTGTGAAGTCTACTAGGGCAGCAGTACTTAAAAATATTTTCAAAAATGTGTTTTTCTTAGGGAAATTATTGATTCCCCATTGCAGCCTCTCATGAGTTTTCCTTGCATCTCTAACTATGCATTCTGTTCTTGAAGGTATAGTATGCCATCATGAACAAATATCCTGTAGCAGCTCATTTCATTTTTATCTACTCTAAACATTGGTATTCCTTCATTGTAGGTGCATTGTTCCTTATTTTGTATACCTAAATAACATCCGTATTCTTTAAAAAGTCAAATCTGAGAATGCATGGATCTGTTGTATCAGCCTTATAGACTGTGTGCTAATATATGCAAGATGCAAACTTGATGTGCATATTCACTTTCCAATACACTGACATTTTCTGTCTGTTTGCAATTTGTAGAGTTAAAGATGAAACCATATACAGTAGGTTTTTGCCATTTAGCAGAGCTACATCAGGTCATAGAATTATGTAATAATATCTGAGATATATAATATATATATGTCTCAGAATATTTATTTGGAGATGTAAATTAATTGTAATTAAAGGGGAATACTTGTATTAAGCATTTTAATAGAAGCATTCCCTTTTAATTATAATTATGTTTAATTAAATCATTGCAACCTAGGTGCAGGATTCTTAAATTATTTGTTAATACTTATATAGATACATATGTAAGATATAACAAAATACAATGGCTGCACTAAGAAATGATTGACGACTTCAAAATTAACTATTCTAAATTTGGTGTTCTCTACAATTCAAGATCTTTCCACATTACATAACAACCTAAAATTAGCCAATAGCAGTTTAGCTGTACTTATGCACCTACTTAGTAGTATAAATACTCTTCGCACGCAACCACGTCGTTCTTTTTCTTAACCTCTGCTCTGCCAATATTTCCATGCTGCTTATGCTTCCTTGTATAAGATGCTTATGTCGTACTTTTAAAACCAGTGTACATAAAAATTATCGTATTTAAATATGTTTGGATAAATACCTTGTCTACAAAAATGATCTGATGTGAATTATCATGGATTAAAATTATGTTTTGAAATGGCCACATCTGGAAGTTCTTGTTTTATGCGTCCATCTATCTAACTGTGCTATCTAACTGTGCTAAATCAAGCTAACTGTGCTAAATCTATCTAACTGTGCTAAATCAAGCTGCAGTGCATCAAAATATCCACTCTCGGCCATTACGACTACAAGCTGCTAAAAGTACCAATGTCACGCACTTAAAATATCACACTTATTTAAAGCCTCCAGGATTACTTGCAGTGAAAGTTTCCCAGTGGATTTCAACTATACACTAAAACGACTGCGAAAACAAAAATTGAAAAATGCTTTAAAGGTCATCAAACTCCGTATTTTCTATGTTCCTTCCTTCGCCTGTTACGTGTC